TTTTTTTTTTTTTTTTTTGCGTCTTCTCTGTCTCTTCTAAAGTATTAGCTGCTCCTGCTAGTTATGTGTTCCCTGCAGACTTCTTCCAGACTGTTAATAAGATTGTTAAGTACAGGGCCCAGGACAGAGTCCTGCGACATGCCACTTGATACTACCCTCCAATCTTACATAGATCCATTTATGAACACAATCTGAATGTGGTAATTTAGCCAATTATGAATCCATCCTACAGTCGTAACATCTAACCCATATTTTACCATTTTATTAATGTGGATATCAAGAGAGACTCTATCAAGCAGAAGCTGTGGTCAAGGTACACTATTCCTCTAGTATTCCCCTGATCTGGTAAGCTATTAACTCAGAAGAGGGGGTATGGTTAGTCTAACATTATAACAAACCCATGCTGGCTCTTGTTAGGTGTTGTGCTCATAAATGATGGTTTAATCATCAGCTTGAGGACTGCACCCAATTTTCACATCAACCTGACAGATCTTCCCCTGTTTTGAAAGTAGGCCCAGCAGTGGCTGTCCTCCAGTCTTCTAGGACCTTACCAGTTCTCTTGGAGCTCTGGAAGGTTACAGTTAGTTGTACTGCGATCTCCTCTGCTAGTTTCTTGAATATTCCAGAATGCAATTCATCTGGTCCTGGAGACTTGAATTAATTTAAACTAGTGGAGTATTTTTTTTCTCATATATCCAGAGTTGCAGCTCCCTTCTTCCACAAGTGACACAATGAGGGCCAGCTAGGGTTTTGTTTCCTTTCTGAGAGAAGACACATATAAAATGCAAATTAAGATTTTCTGCTCTCTCACTATCACCCACTTCCAGTTCACCCCATTCTCCTTGCAACAGACCTACAACCTCCTTGTCTTTCCTTTTGTTTCTGTAGTAGCCTGAAAAAGACTCTTGCTTTTGTTGATGGCATTTCTCACAAGCCTCAGCTTATTCTCATGTTTAGCCTTTCTGACACAATCCCTATAGCTTTTGGCAATTGCCTTATATCCTCCTTGGGTTACACACCCCTCCTTCCAATTTCCTATACAAGTCCCATTTTCTTTCAGCATTTTAGAAAAAACTGTGACCTCGCTGGTCTTCTGTTTTTCCTTCTGGTAGAAATTGTGTGTGAATGCACTTTCAGTAGCTTGTTTTTCAGGATTTCCCATCTTTCCTGGATGCTCTTTCAGGATCTCCATGCATTGAGTCTGACCCACCTTCCATCTGAGTTCATCAAAATCTGCTTTTCTGAAATCCAGTATGCAAGGCTGACTACTGTACTACTTTCCTTTATATTATAAACTCAATAAAACAGCCAATTTCTTCCAAAATTCCATTTACTTTCACTTCAGTCATTTCCTCCCTGTTGGTTACATACATATGTACATACATTTATTTATTTATTTTCAATTTTTGATGCCATCCAACTCCAACCAACTCTGTTCCTTCTGTGTTCTGACAAATGAGGTTGTCACCAAGAAGGGACAGGAATTTGTTGGACTTCTGATTCATGACACACATTTCCAGCAGATATCAGGGTAGCTGAAATCTCCTACTGTCCCTATTATGTGCCTCTTTGAAAGTTTGGTCATTTGGCTCAGAAAGGCCTCATTCATATCTTCTGTCTGTCTACTTGGGCAGTTTACAATAAACTATTACATTCATTTATAGTTTTTATAACCCACCTCAATCCAAAGACTCTAGGCAGGTTACAATAGAGTAAAAAGGTAAAATAGCGTACAAATATGAACCAACCCAGTGACCACAAAATGGACACAGTTAAAATCAACTAAGGTTGAAAGCTGAATTAAATAGAACCATGGTGATTCTTCAGCTGCTATGGGGGTGGGAGGAAGCTTTTTGAATCTCTAGAAATAGACAATTCCTAAGGGTGGGGGCTGTCATGGAGAAGGCTTGTCTTGTCTGCATCCCCCAACCTTAAATAGAAGGGGACTCATAAAAGGCTTTCCTGAGATATTCCCATTGGATGGGCAAAAGCAATTCTGGCATGGCAGTGCTTGATGTAGCCTGGTGCTATGCCATTTAAGGCTTTGTAGGTTATATCCAGCCCTTTGATTTGGGCCCAAAGCTGACTGGTAACCAATGCAGGGACTTCAAAAGGAGCAATCTTGCCAGCAATCTCACCACCATGTTCTGGACCAATTGTAGTTTTCAGCGTATATTATAATAATAATGCAACCAAGCTGCGATGAAGGCGGGAACCACCATTGTCAAAGCCTGGGCCAGTTAAGGTCAAAATTGGCACATCTCTCTAGTCACAGCCTCTACCTGCTGTTTAACTCCTACAGTATTACTTGCTTTTCCTTTTATTCTTACTCAAATATTCTCAACAGGATTTCTGTGTTTTGATTCATGAATTTCTGTGCAGGCATATGCTTCCTTTATATACCCTTGGTATACCTCCCTTTTTATTGAGTTTGTTTCTTCTGAATAAGCTGTAGTTTTCCAGGCTGTTCCAATCATGTGTGTCATCCCACCAAGTTTCATGATCCCCTACTGGCTGTACAGTTGTAGTTTCCTGCCAATGTCTAAGTCTCCCATTCCAGTCTTACACTTTTTCCTATGCCTCCTGTGGTTGTTGGCCATGGATTTGGCAGTATAGTAGGTTCTGGACTGCTGCCATCCTT